CCGGTTTTTTTTTTAAAGACAAAGTTATCCATGTAGTGAAAGTAATTGGGACTTCGTTGTTTCTTCTAATGGTTTGGGTGGGTTATATTTTGCCAGGTCTTTCAGTCTCTGTGACTCTGGTATGTGGGTCTGGATTTGCCGGTTGCCTCTTTACATCTCAGTTACAAATACCAACAGAGGTTCTGCTCCTTCACACCACGCTTTCTTTGTCTCTCTTCTCTTGCCTTTGGAAAGGACAGCACTGCCTTTGCGGTCACAAGCCTTGTCAGCAAACAGATGCCTTTGTGCGACCAGCTCCTGCTTTACACTTCAAAACCGTGTGTTTGTATTTCTGACATTTATTCAAGATCAGCAAACAGCAGCTCCTCCCCTCCCCCAGTGCCTCCTCTTGCGCTGATAGCTCTACGGGGAGCTTCATTTCAGGTGTAATCCACATCGTGCATCTCTCCGCCTTAAATTCCTCTCTCCTTTTCTGCTTTACTGGTGCGGGTTTCCTGTTCTGCTCAGTTTCAGCTAGAAACGTAAGAGAAAAATGAGCCCGGTCCAATCGTGCAGTAATTGTAATGTTTCAGCACAGCTTCTTTTCTCACATCATCATCTACACATCCCTCGAGTTCTGTGTAACCACAGCACCTTCCAGTTAAAATGCAGCCAGTTTACTAACAAGGAATCTGATTTTCCATTCCTTTTGTCTCATTCCCTTCCTCCTCTTCCCTCCAACCCTCCCCACCAAGCTTGGATTTCAATATAATATGTGCAGCTTCAGGTCTTTGCTAATGTTGCACATCTGAGCAGTGTATTCTTTGGCTTTCTCTGGTGCCCTCTATAAAATATGTATTGCCTAATGGCTGCATGCAGTTTATATCCCACTGGTCCATTTTAAATCTGTGGAGAAATCACCCATTTGTATATATCATGGAAGAGATAAATTGCATTAACCTGCAAGACTGGATTCTGTGCTTTCTGGTCACCTCCCTTAACCACAGGTTAACAGCCTCACATTTAGCTGACAAAAAGGAAACCCAGGAAGACAGCAGCTTAAATTCAAGAGGATTAATTCTGCTCTCAAGAATGTAAATCTGGAAGATTACACCATTTTCTCTGGAGGAATTACTCTGAAGAGCAAAATGTTGCAACTGAGGACAGGAATTAACTCAGATCAAGAAGACACGTCCAGAAGTAGTGAGTTAGTACAGCTTCATGAGCTAAGATCCACATTTGCAGTGTGTAAAGAGAATTGTGCAAAGAAATAACCCCAGCCTCAGCAGTGAATCTGCTCCAACAGCCAGAAAGAGGAAATAAGCAAGCCACCACCACCCACCAAACAGATAACTGAAGCTTTTTCCACCCCCCTGCCTAACCCCTTATATTTTGCAAATATAAAAATGTGGGAGGAGAAATACTGTCTGTGGTTAATGCAGCCACAAGTTTCACCAGACAAAAGACTAAACAATGGAAAAGATTAAGGTCGCTCCCTCGGTAGCAGCAGTTCTCACAGCCTCTGTATGCAAAAGCCATTCAGGCAGCAGCGGCAGCAGCAGCGCAGCTTAGGCACAAAGCAGCATCTCTGCAAGGAGGTCCCCAGGAAATGGCCCCCGAGTCAGCGGTTGGTGTCTGAGGGCTGGCAGGCAACTCGCCAGGAGCCCAGCGCTCACTCGTAATTAGCAGGCCGCTATTAAATAAAGATCTTGGATGAGAAAGTTCCTCCCTCAAGTTATACTTTTGACCTCAGCGAAGTTAAATTCATGTTGAAACTGGCCACTGGAGACCTACTCCTGCAAATCTTAATCAGACAGCAGATGCCTCCTGCCAGCAAGAATTGGAGTGCTTCTAGTAAACCTGCAGTGCACGCTGTCACACCACAGGGGAAACCCAGTGCTGGCTAAAATTGGTTATTTAACACATTGCATTGGATTTTGTGACGTCTCCTCAGCCCTTAAGTAAATGGCAAAAGAGCAGATGGTGCCTGTTTCCTCTATCAGGCAGGTGCTTGTGAGCCTGATCTGCCACAGGGAGGAATGATTCCCCAGCTATCACTCCTTGCTGCTATGCTCTGTTCACTTTGTGTCAGTGCAATCTGGGAAAGAGAAAGTGGAAGCTCATTGTCTCTTCTTCTTCAGTTTCATGCGAACCTTGGAGCATGGGATTCCTCTCCATGCAGAGAAGGCTGAGCATGGATATCACAAGTACACTGCCTGTCCATAATGTGTGACTTCCCCCCTCCACCCTCTAGGAGGACCAAGCTCAAACTCGTTGCAGCTGAACAATGCTCTGTTTGCTGCATGGTCACTTGGATTGCAAGGACTTCCTTTGGGTTGGGAGAGGATGGAGGAGCAGAGGGGAGAATGCATCCCATCTTCAAGGCTTGCGAGAAGAGCAGTGCACCTCTAGGTACAGGCTCTTCCCTCCCAGCCTTCCTCAGTGCCGTCTCTCCATCACACCTTCCTGTACCTCTGCGCTATACCTCTCCCCAGGTGCCTCCCACCTGAAATCCCACCAGAGAGCTGGGGGACAAGGAAACAGAGAGAACACGGTGCAGTGAGCTGAATGCTGGTCTGGCAATCAGGGAATTAAACTTCTGTCCTCATTTCTGCTGTTCCTCAGGCAGATTACCATTTTTTTTGCTGTGTCCCTCCTGCCTGTAATTAGTTCACCTTGTGGGAAGAAAAGCATGTGTGTGTGCGTGTTAGAGCAGCTGCCAGCACACAGTGGCCCAGCCTTGCTCAGAAGAGCCTCTCCCAGCTCTCGCATGGTGATTCCTGACACCAGCAGTGAACTTCATTTTATTTCAAATAAGATGTTGGAAGAGGAGCTACTTCAGGAGTAAACAAGGTCTCCTTTCACCACCTCACGCCTCTGCTGGGAGTGTTATCTGACAATCATACCATGGTACAAATACAGCAGAGCAGCAAAAGTGCTATAGAAAACAGTGAACGTTGACAGAGTGATTTATTTTCTTTAGAGCCTGTAAATCTGGGACAAAATGCAGTCCTCCTGTCTACAGGCAGCATTTCGAGAAACTCACAGCTACACCGTGCTCTCATTGAACCTTTAGAAAAAGCAAATCACTGGAGTCTTCTAAAGCAACCA